AAAATAAGAAATATGTTAAAATTTATTTTAATTGCAAATAGAGGGTAAAATAACCTAGTCTTATTTGCTCTTGCACAGATTCCCCCAGCAAATGGGCAAGCTGCAGCCGTTCAGGCACTCCCTACAGACTGGCTTATATATGATGAAATGACAAGAGCTCACAGGATAGCAAGTATTAGATGCTGTTCTGTTGTAACACCTATCACTGTGGCACTCTTCTGTGGACCAGCTAGATTACCAAGTAATGCTTTGCAGGAACCTTCATCCTTTCGAGGTATAGTGGGGTTTGGATTTGGAATGTTTCCATTGGTATATACTAGCATGGGATATGGAAGGCTTGTTTTTCAAGAATATTTAATACATATATTGGCTAATTCTTAAAATGACAGAGCTATAGTTCCTGTAGCTATTCAAGAATAGTTTAGAGGCTCTGTAGTAAATGTCTCAATTCTGTGAATCCTTATGGATTTGTATACATAAATTATACTTTCACAGTTCTGAAATCTCAGAAATTACAACAAAAAAAAGAGGAATCCTACTTAATAGCCATATGTATATGTAATTATTTCTTTTCTTAATGGGTATTTTATGCTTCTGTTTTACTAGGAAATAAAGCATAGAGCAATGTGTGGTTTTGCAAACAGCTTCAGGCACAAGTTTGGTAGTGGCTTGTTGATATTGATGAAGGTACATGAGTGAGTCAGATCACATCAATACAGGTGCTTACATAGCAGGGCCCTGGGCAGGTTTGGGTACTTGAGTTCTGCTGACTGAAGCAAAGACTTTTCACTGGGGTGTATTTGCAGAAAATAAAAAGTGGTTTTACAAATATTTACATTATAAAATAAAATTAAAAGAAAATGTGGTTTTTGCTGGTAAAACAGTAGTATTCATTTTTTTGTATGTAAGTGGAAATAATATAGAAATGTTAATGCACCTTTTGTATTTAATTCAGGGGATGGGATATCTAATGATAACAGTGATAGTGAGATGGAGGACAAAACAACTGCTAATTTGGCATTACTGAAGCTAGATGAATGGCTCCATCTCAAACTGGACCCTGAAGTAAGTAATGTATCACTTCAATACTTGTTTCTTGTAGAAGGATATCTAATGTCATATCTTCCTAAACAGATTTCTGAAACACTGGGTAGCCAGGAATTTTCTCTAAAAATGGCTGTTACGGTCTGTTTGGGGGTCTCATATTTACAGGACAACATACTCCGTGATTTAACTTTATTTCATGGGCTCATTAAGAAATACGACAAACAAACAGGGGCTCCAGCCCCTTTTGCCCAGACTAGTCTATCATATGAATTCAGTTATTCACGATTCAAATTGTAAGGGTTCATAGCTTATAAAGAAGAATTAGTTCCCTAGTCAATGGTGAGACTGCTCATCCTTCTTCCTCCGTCATGTTGCGGGTATCCCCTGTATCACACTGGGAAGCAGGAAAGCTGCATCAGTCCAGCTGCTACTGGGCTTCAAAAGCTTTTTGGGTAAGCTGATGTTTTATACCTTACAGCTTAGAGGTTTGGTCCATTTCCATAAGTTAGCAGATTCTGACAAAACTGCCAGGCAAAAGATAATGACTGCAGGAGACAGAAAGCTGCAGGTGATAGTGGCTGCATAATGGCCCTTCAGCTCTTTCTGGCCATCCATCAAGCCTACGTGGTGCTCTTGCTTTGACCTAGTGCAGAGCCATCTGGACAGGCTGGATTGATGGGTTGAGGTCAATTGTGTGAGGTTTAAACTGCACTTTGGTTGTAACAACCCCAGGCAACACTACAGGCTTGGGGAGGAGTGGCTGGAGAGCTGCCCGGCAGAAAAGGACCTGGTGGTGCTGATTGACAGCCGGCTGAATATGAGCCAGCAGTGTGCCCAGGTGGCCAGGAAGACCAACAGCGTCCTGGCCTGTATCAGAACTAGTGTGGCCAGCAGGAGTAGGGAGTCCCTGTACTCGGCACTGGTGAGGCTGCATCTCCAATACCGTGTTCAGTTTTGAGCCCCTCACTACAAGAAGGATATTGAGGTGCTCAAGTGTGTCCAGAGAAGGGCAACGAAGCTGGTGAGGGGTCTGGAGCACAAGTCTTATGAGGAGTGGCTGAGGGAACTGGGGTTGTTTAGTCTGGAGAAGAGGAGGCTGAGGAGAGACCTTACCGTTCTCTACAACTACCTGAAAGGGGGTTGTGGTGAGGTGGGTGTTGGTCTCTTCTCCCAAGAAACTAGCGATAGAACAAGAGGAAAAGGCCTCAAGTTGCCAGGGTGGTTTAGACTACGTATTAGGTAAAAATTCTTTGCTGAGAGAGCGGTCACACATTGGATCAGGCTGCCCAGGGAAGTGGTGGAGTCACCGTCACTGGAAGTGTTCAAAAAACGTGTGGATGTGGCACTTCAAGACATGGTTTAGTGGGCATGGTGGTGTTGAGTTGATGGTTGGACTTGATGATCTTAGAGGTCTTTTCCAACTATAATGATTCTATGATAATGGCACTGCTCCCAGCATACATCAAGCCTTAATATGATCTGGGTTAGCCAAAATCTGAGCAGGAGTTCGGTGAACAGTCATAATGGCATATGTGCATTTCCTTCTCTGAGACGATGTCTACAGTTGGAATCAAAATGGAGCACTTGAAGTTGGTGTTGTTGCAAGTTGCTGTCAGATTTCAGAGAAATTAAAAAAAACCTTTTGAAGATAGAAGTCTTCAGGTCATTAGAGAAGCTCTGGCAAGAGGTAGAGTAGTTTATGGGTTATGAAATGCACGGACTTATCAGATCTAATAAGAACACTCTCTTCTAGAGATGTTCAAAAGTGTGGGTTTTTTTTAAATGGAAGCATTTCTGATAACATGGGAATTAGACTTTAGTCTTATAGTCTTCTAAATTCAGGCATCTCGTTTGAGCAGAACTGTGCATAGGAAAAGTATGTCACTTAGAGCTCTTTTCCCTTAAGTATGAATGAAGAGTGCATGAATATAGACTGAATTGAGAGGAAAGATGTAAAGCATGAAAATATTTTTTTATTTTAAATATAAAATTTTAAAGTGAAAAATAAAAAAACCCTGTGTGTTTACAATGTAATTTTAAGTTTAGTACAGAGCTAAATGAAATAAAATGTTTTAAAGATGATCTTGCACCCAAGGAGAGAAAAGATAACAGCTTAGTTCAAATATGGGGTTTTGTCCCCCTCCCTGGCACTTTAGTCTTGCCTTTCAGTTTGGACTCTGTTAATTTTTGAATGCCACATGCTACCTGATAGGGAAGACGTAGGGTACCCTTACCTGTCTGATCTAACTTTTTTTAGTGTTTAACAGAATTGAAATTCATTACAGGCTGCTAGTTTGCTGTTGCAACTCAGACAGAAGTGGCATAGCTTATTTCTGCGTCGTATGCGAGCTCCTTCTAAACCATGGTCTCAAGTTGATGAAACAACTGTAAGAGCGATTATAGCTGTTTTAAGCACTGAAGAACAATCTGCAGGTTTGCAGCAGCCTTCAGGAATTGGTCAGAGACCAAGACCTATGACTTCTGAAGAACTTCCTTTAACACCTACATGGAGGTCAACCAACAGCAGAAAAAGCTCAGCAGAAACTGAATTCTCTGATGACTGCTCCAATGCTGAAAAGTAAGCTTCTGAGATCTTCTAGAGACCATAGATTGTAATTTATTTAGCTATGAAAGCATAACTTGAATTTCTGCTAGTAATAAAAAGGAAGAAACAGTAGAAATACAGTTTAAAGAATTGATACTGTCCTATGCTATGTTGTAGTTGTGATTTCATTGGGAAGTGTTTCATATGTGTATGGGCTGTTTGAGAGAGCAGTCAGGAATATTGGCCGTGAATTGTGATCTCTGGCAAGAAGCAGCAGAAGAGGTGTAACCCTAACATTCAAAAACAATGCATGATCAGTGTTTTTTTAGTTAGTGTTTAATACATTTTGGAATTACTGTAATATATATACTCATGCAATAGGCTAATATGTAGATAAAAATTGTCCTGTGACCGCTTATGAAACCCCTGGTATGTCCTGTATCTACCTTTTACTCTTCAGAGTTTTAATGAAATCTATGCCTCCTGCACTTCACCAGCCAAAGAAATACAAAGAAAAAAACATTTTGCACTCCAAACGAACTTCAGATGACAGGTCAGATCAATCATCAGTGAAGTCTACAGACAGCAGTAACTATCCTAGCCCCTGTGCTAGTCCTTCTTCTCCAACATCTGGAAAGGTAGAGTTCTTGTAAACAAATTACCCCACTCTTCAAAATTAATAGAATTTCAGAAATAAATTTGCTTATATTTGTTTAGCAACTACCAGATATTGTATTGATAAATGAAGAGCCTGACTTAGATTTTCAGTTTTAACAGCTGCATAATACTTACTTCTTTCTGGAACTTCAAATCTAGACTAAATGTCCTTGTTACACTAGTTTAATACAGTAGAAATACTATTCTTTGCAGACTGCTGAGGTAAAGCTAACCAAAGTAGGAAAAGGTCAGATTTTTTTTTTTAAAACGTGATATAATAACCAGTGAAGATGTATTTTTTTATCCTAAATTAGTATACAATACATGTACATCTGAATTCTTTGGATTCTGCCTTCCTCTTGTTTCTGTAATAGCATACATTGATACTCATTCTCTTTGTTTTGTGTTATCTGCCATGTTATGTCTGCTTGCTTTTCTTATGATGATTATTTTAACAAAGCACACATGTTTAATGGGGTCTTATTGGCATAATTCTCCCTATATACTTGAATAGTAAACTGCAGTAATATTAAACAGATTGCTGAGAGGAAAACTCATTGTGCCTCTAGACATGGACTTACTGGACAATTTAATAATTCCAGTTTTTAAATTCAGCTAATGTAAAAGGGAGTATACTTATGTTTCCTAAAGGTGGAAATGTGAGTAGTGTTCTTCAGGCTACAGTCTGGAATGATTAATTTTGTGTCATCTGAAGATGTGTCAAACTTTGAAGAATTGTGATTAATCACTGCTGCTTCTTATGAATGAATTATTATTTTGTAAACTGCTTAAAATATCTTAAGTAGATGTGAAATACATTTTTAAACCAATTCAGACAGTGCCCACTGATAGATTCTGTGTTTCTTACAGAATCTGAGAGAGGAGGGTAGGAGCGCAGTCAAGGGATTTCTGTCTTCATGTGTGTGAAACTTTAGAACTAAAGCCTGTTGTAACTTAATTTAATTTAATTTTTCCAGGGTTCCAAATCTCCTTCACCAAGACCAAATATGCCAGTTCGATACTTTATACTGAAAAGTAGCAACTTGCAAAACATTGATATTTCTCAACAGAAGGGTATATGGTCTACTACGCCAAGTAATGAACGAAAGCTAAATAGAGCCTTTTGGGAGAGCAGCATGGTTTACTTAATATTTTCTGTTCAAGGGTCTGGACACTTTCAGGTGAGTTCTTAGTTAAGCTAATATTTAGTATTTGGTTGATGGTTTCAGAGAGCGCAGCAAATGACTATGTGTAGTATGGAGGTTTTTGCGTGTGACTTCTGACCCTCTTATAAGTAGAGTAGCAAGCAAATATATCTGGTTGCTGAGGAAAGAGTACTTCATTCTTACCTGAAATACACCTTTTTAGCTAACTCTATTTGTCACTCAAAGGCTAAAACTGAATTGGCTCCAGACATCTTGAGTCAGAATAATGCTTATAGCCTACATTAATCCTTTAAACGGCAACAAAACAAATAAAGCAAGGGATTGCCACTCTTTTCTCTGCATGCCAAAATAAATATTGTAAGTGAACAAGCAGCTGTAATCAAGTCACAGCTTTCTAAAGCCAGGAAAATTTATAGATGTCTTTGAGTTGTAATAAAAAAAAAAGTTAGATCAATATATTATATA